AGATCCCCTGCGGGGGCGGGGCTAGAGCTCCGTCATCGTCCTGCTGACCAGGCTTTCTTAGCGTCGCCTCGTCGGCGGGGAAGGGCAGTTTTCGCATGGCAACAGTCAGTGCTCGCGTCTGCATCGATCACGCTGGTGTTGGAGGTGCCGCATGTCCTGCTCGCATGTCCCGAGAAGAAGTCGATCATGGGAACCGTAGTTTTACTTTCGTGAAGTTTCAAAAGCGTACAGACCTCTGTCACCAGAGGTGGGGGTTGTACGGCGCCTCACAGTACTGCAGGTGACAGTCATAGTCATTCGGGTTAAAGCCAATCCAAAGGAAGGGGCTGGGGCATGGGAGGGATGCTCAGTCATCGACGCCTTGAGGCGGGTTAGTCTCAGTCAAAGGGTCTCGCATCGGATTTTCCTGTTCGCGCTAGTGCAGCTTTCATTTAGCTATGAAGAAAAAAAAGGTTCTTCGGGAAAATCAAGATGCACTTGTGAAAATTCCAGCTCTTTATCAGACGAAATAAAGGGAAGTGATCAAGAACACGTGTCACGGGCTCGGAAATTCACAAGCATATCTTGATTTTTCCGAAGAACCTCTTATTTTCTTCATTATATCGCTCGTGATGTTAACTTGTCTGATTTACATATATATTTTTTTCATGATTTTTATAGCGGAGGATAACCCAAGTGAGATCACTGCTGAGCCCTGCAGTCCCAACTGCATACGTCTAACTTGGAGGGCGCCTGCAAAATCAGATCACTCTCCCACAATCTACACAATTTTGACGAACACGAATTATGAGAGCACTCAGCAAACTACGGCAACAACAATCGACATTGACCAACTTTTACCAGCAACAGCGTACACCTTTCATGTGTATTCGACTTTAATTGGTGGTGGCCGGTATATACCTGGAGCAAAAGTAATGGCAATCACGTTTCCTGAAGGTAATTAACATACTCGCCTAGCATAGTTTCTTTGCTTTTTGTGTGAGAGCAGCAGTGTCTTTATAAGAACGAAATTGTAATAAGTTTGCTCACCTTCACTTCCCCAGAACCTCGTGTTAGGAAAAAGCACACCGGGAAACATTGATGCTCCAATTTACGCCGCTCATTGGCCAAACTCCGACTCACATACAAAAGACTCCCTATCTCATGAAATATAGTGGATTCACTAAAAAATATAATATTGGGCAAAGTCAGCACACGCAGTGTGCACCCAAACTAGGATATACGTAAACCAAGCATCATAAGTAAAAATAAGACAGACATTTATGGGCATGGGCGTCAAAAATAGTAGCAATTTAATAAAGAATACGTACAAATAAAATTCTCTTTCACTGAAATGTTTTACAAAAAATGTGTCAGAACTGGATTTGGTCACCTTATCTAAAACAGTTTTTCCCATTGTGGATAAGTGGTAAACATTCTGTTTTTTAATGCATAACAAGGTCCATGTGTGTTTTGTGTTTATGTACATTGACAATTGCAAACGATTTTGGATGCTAATCAGATTCGGTCTCTGGCAGGGACAAACAAAAGTTGAATAACACACCAGGACAGACTGGCGCTTCCTTAAAAGTTAGCTTGCGGGTTTACATGTCATCAAATTCATAATATCTTATGTATTAAAGGAAATTTCCGTTTGCCCATTTCTTTGTAATTATTTTCAGAGTTCGAGTGCGACGAGCTGCAGACTTTTTTTCGAAATTCTGTTGAAAACTTTTCAAATTTCATTGTTTTGCATTGTTTGTTCATAAACATCAAGGTCGTTCAACCAACTTACTGAAAACCAAGCAAAATGGAATATCTTAAAAGAATTTGCATAAAAAAGCACTTCTTTAAACAATCCTTTTTATGTAGCTGTCTGTCCGGGTCACGACTTTAGAATCACCCAAACATGTTAACTCATTTGCTGAGAAAAAATGCATTTGCACAACCAAAGCCGAAAATAAATACGCCTAATATTAATTAAACAACTTTTCATGATAAGGTTCCTCTTCAGAAAGCGCTATAGTTAGATATTTCGATGTCGAATCCCAGTGCACTATAGCTTTTTAGAAGATGAAGTCAAGATCAAAATGAGATATTTTTACCAGTATTCTTACTTCCTTACAAATGAGAGAAAACACCCTGTTGGAAATGAAAAAAATTATATTTGTATGTAATCCAGAGCAGCTTTCAATACATTTTACGTTTTAAATGTACAACAGAGAGACGAAGAATATCCTTCGATATTTTTAACATGAAATTATTTTGTCTGTTGTGTTCCAAGATTTTATATTCCTTCATTTTCTTCTGTATTTTCCCAGTAGGAAAGAGTATTTCAACACTCTTATTGGGAAAATTAATGCACTTTCTTGATAGTTCAAATAAAGACAAATAAGAACAATAATTTTGGCATACTGGAATACCCTTTGGTCTCCTGTAAAATTATTACTTGCCTTTAGTGCACAAAACATTGCATATTTGTACGAAAAACATTTCCTTAACTTAAATCATTTCCCTGTCCGAGAATAATGTTTCATATTATATATAGACTAACAGCTAGTTCATGGAAGCAAAACGAAAGATAACGTTTTGTGAACAGATATAATTAGAAAGTGCAGCCAGCTCATAAATTTTCTTTTATACAGCAGCATGGTCTAACAAAAAGGTCTTTTACACAGCGTTCAATGGCGTAGACTATGCTTCGGATATCAACAACCGCAGGCTTTCGCTTATTTCCGCCTCTTTTTTCTTACACTATAATGAGATAAACGGATTTCAATTAAAATAAACAGTATTTTCCGCCTTATATAAACCCATTGAACTCGAAAAACAACCTAAAATGTGTGTTCAATCACCTAACCCCCTACCTTTCATCAGATATGCAATCTACTCTACGTGCCACTGACTTGCTAGCACTTCTGTAGGTTTCGTCAATGCCTCGTTGTTCATCACAGATATGACCTAAATGCCGTGGTTTGGAAAGTTGTCAAAGAACGGGGTAATTCCAACTGCCTAGTCAGGCTCGCAGTCTTTTCTTAATAGTGACCCCTTGAGCTACCCGCATAGTGGATGTGTTAAGTCAACACGTCAGCCATATCAGGGTCTGGCAGCCTTTTTTTCCGGTTCCGTGTTCATAACAAATCCTGAACATGGCCGGCGTGGTGGCGCTATGTTTATGTGCATGATCATTCAGCGGCGGTCACCGGCGCCCTTTCCCATCTGCAGTCTCCGTTACTCTGTCTTGACACCAGACACAGTGAAGGGCAGTACGGTGGATGCAGCACAAGCCTGTTCTCACTAAATTCGAGCAGAAGCCATGGTTCCGACATCAGTCGGCTGTGGAGCACACTGTGTGGGCATCGTCGTGCATTGTTACGTGGTCATGACGGTAGAAGTATACTAGCAGAGGAGGGATTGCGACACATAAACCACAAGTCTACCACCAGTAGGTAAATGTAAACTTCACGTAAGTCAGCCTGTTGAACTACCGCTTGCTGACGCCTGCTGTGAATATCGTAGAAATTGACGGGTGAACTATAAAATAATCAATTGGTTCTTTTACAACAACGTTGTGATACAACTGACTTAAAAAACGTCGATTCATGAATATGTAAAATCTATTTGCTAACTGAAATTCTAAGGCTTCGCTTGAAGAAACCACACGTAATCCTCAAAAGGTCAACAGAAGCAGCGTCTTCTCCGGATTGCCTAATTGTACAGAATGACAGAAAACAAACTTTATCAAAGTAATAATTATACCTAAAACTTTTATTGTTTGGGCGAGATGCTCCGCAACAGGATCAGCATTATGCAAGGATTCTGGTAGCCGTTATTAAAATGTATGCATTCCTTTTCATAATTTTCTCATAATGAACGTGAATCGTCACAAATTGACTCAAATAAACAGCGGTAAATAGCCGAATATAGGAGGTGTCCAGTTGGGCCGACATTACAATTTAACGACGACGGCGGCTTGAAAATAAGTCGAACTCATTTCTGCACATTCTGCACAAAAGGCACATTCAAAGCAGGCGCAGACTAACGTAGCTTCGTTTATAATAATAAAGCTATACAAATACGTCAAAAATCCGGGTCAACATATCCATTTGATTCATAATAATTTAACGAGGCTTCTGCAATTGAAAAGCTTAAGTGTTCTCCTGAATCCATTAGAATAAGAGTTTATAAATAAGTAATGAAATCTGTTGTTTGTGCATTATTTTCGTTTGCCTAATTGTAAGGAACTCACAGCTATCAAAGTCCATGTAAAACAGAGTAAACCAACATCCAAAAGATTTCCAAAGTAATTTTCGACATTATACATTGGGAAAGTATCCGACAAGGGATATTTTTGGAGATGTGACCTGCCATAGATTCACCGAGAGCTCTGGGAAAACGTTTAACTTACTAGAGCTTTAGATAGACAACAAGAGAACCACGTTGAGTGTCGGGCACAATTAATATATAACATCGAAATTTGAAAAAAATTAAATAGCAAGAAAATGTTGCTGCTTCTTAATGTTATTGTTTTTTTATCTTATTTTAACTGCAGATCCAGAATACACATATGAATTAACGGCGCGGAGTGAATCAGCAACTAAAGTTACTTTATTTTGGAGAGGTAACCAAGAAGCACTTACGCCTGGCCGCAAATTCGTTATCATCACCAGGCCAGCGGGTATGCCAGCTATAACAACGCACAAACAGTACGTGCAACTGGAAGGACTGGACCCCCATAATTTCTACAGGTTCACTGTGTACGCATTGTGGGCAAACGGTACCCCCAGGGATCCTTATATGGATGTAGATTATACAACACCGCAAAAAGGTAATTGTACTGTCGTGGATATACTAAATGTTGCCCATATAATAAAAATCTGACTGAAACAACTAACAGCAAATAATGAGACGTAATGAGAAGTACACGTCAAGTTACTCTAATGATCAAGTCTAAACACTTCTTCTGCACAACCATATACACGGCCACCTAATCATAATGGAGTGCTTGTACAATCCGTCCACGCTTTTCTTAACACACGAATAAATAGGCGCACAACAAGGGAACATTGGCAATAAGGATGTGACAACTCGCAGGACGAATATGAAAGGTAACGTGTTGGCAATGAAAGTAAAGTATTATCTCCACTGTCCACGGTTAGGTAGGGTTTGTCGTCCCGTTAACTGGCCCTTACCCAATTTCTGCCGTCACATATAGTGTTATTTTGGGGAAACTCTTTGCCGGGCAGTAGCCTTGGGTAGGTTTCCAATCATCTTCAAAGAAATCTAGGGAAAGAATTTGATTATGAGAAAACGACGTAAGCCAATGCGATAGAATAAGTCTTGGGCTTTAGAACAGAGGACCTGTGGATGACTATGATGATGATGATGATGATGATGATGATGATAGCCAAATGCCAGATATAAACAGGGGATTCTTTACCGGCTTCGGCTCTTCTCCCCTGCGCATGTATGATGACATTGAAATACATTCCTATTTTATGCACAACCCCTTC